ATACAATCTCACGCATCCCGCTGGAATACCTTTGTTTCCAATCGAGTTGCTCAAATAACTAAATTGACAAATGCCTTTCACTGGCGCCACATAAAAACTTCAGAAAATGCTGCCGACTCCCCATCTCGAGGATTACTAGCCCAAAATATTTTAAAATTAGATTTATGGTGGTCAGGTCCTTCATTTCTGCAAGACCCCAATCTAAAATCTCGCTCATTTTAATGAAAAAAATTATTGAATGCAACTTACCAGAAGAGAGAAAAGTCTCACTTCTTACCGCTAAACCCACCGAAGAAAATTTTTGGCATAAAATATTTCTAAGATTTTCTAAATTTTTTAGACTAGTGCACGCAATGGCATATGTTCACAGATTTATTCACAATTCAAGATTTCCCACTAAAACTCTTACTGGTCCACTATCTGTAGATGAACTTCTCACATCCACTAACTCAATTTGTAAAATTGTTCAACACCAACACTTCAGTTCAGAAATCTCTGAAATCCAAAATAGCAAATCACTCCCAAATAAAAACATGGTCTCACTTAGCCCATTCATAAATCACTCTGGTTTTTTATGTGTCGGTGAACGCTTAAAAAATGCAGACATTCTAGAATATCACAAACACCCTATTTTACTTCCCTCTAAATCACATGTAGTCACTCTACTACTTTCACATGAACATATTAGACTTGGTCATGTCGGACTACAAGCCTTACTTTCTAACGTCAGACAAAGATTCTGGCCCTTGAATGGCCTCAGGGAAATTAAGAAAATTATTCGAAATTGCTCTACTTGCTTTAGATTTTCGCGCACAACCTGCACAGCAAGTCATGTCCGATTTACCAAAGGAAAGAGTTTCGACCTTGCGCCCCTTCCAAAATGTTGGGACTGACTATGGTGGACCACTTATGATAAAAACATCTCGCCTTCGTAAGGCTCCTCTCACAAAATGTTATGTGGCACTCTTTATCTCGTAGATACTAAAAGCTGTCTACATTGAACTCGTATCATCTCTCTCTAGTGACTCCTTTTTACTAGCATTAAAACGTTTTATTGCTCGTAGAGGGTACCCCTCTGTTATATTTAGCGATAACGGTACCAATTTTACTGGTGCTTATAACTGTCTTCGTAAACTGTATGACTTCCTCAAAACCTCTAAAAATTCTACGTCAATTCAAAACTTTGGCTCAGAAAACCTAATAGAATGGAAGTGGATACCCTCTCATAGTCCTCATTGGGGAGGAATTTGGAAATCCGCCATAAAATCGACAAAATTTCATATTCGTCGGATATTAGCCAATGCCTACTTGACTTTTGAAGAATTAGCTACTGTACTAATTCAGATAGAGGCGGCTATATTAAATTCCAACCAATTTGTCCTCTATCTAGCGACCCCGCCGATTTAAAATGACTGACTCCAGGGCATTTTCTTATAGGCTCTGCACTCACTTGTTACCCTGAACGAGGAATCACTCACATACCTTAAAATAGACTAAACCTCTTTCAACGCTGTACTCAGCTTCAATAGCACTTTTGGAAGAGATTTTATTTGGAATATTTAAACAGATTACAGGGACGGTCCAAGTGGTTTCAAATTAAAGAAAATTTAAAAATAAATGACCTTGTTCTCTTGAAGGAGGATGAGACTCGCCCCCCCCCCCTTAAGGAGAATATTAGAAATATTTCCTGGCTTAGACGGAAAGGTCAGAGCTGTACGTATTCCAACTAGTGAAGGAGTCTTCATTAGGTCCATCACAAAGCTATGTCCCTTGCCTCAAGATTCTTAATTTTGATTGTTGTTTTATTACTTATTCTTTGCTGCTGGTTACATTCTTGTTTATATATCATAGGTCTTCTCTATGTTCTCACGTTCCAACTTAACCATTAGATCTCATTCCTTTTTTATCTTTCTACCTCATTATTGAAGAGACATTCAACGGCCGGGGAGTATGTTCGGATTTGATCCAAACTGGCTACAGCGCTCCCGCGTCCTTCCCCTGACCCCCCTTGGTACAGACCAAAATTTGACGCTGCGAATGATTGTACCGACCTCTCCCTCTTTTACGTTCAACCGCCTTAGAAGACAGTCGGCACGGTGAAACATACGATCACAGATTAACTACAGTAAGTGATAATATTTCTTGTATAAAGCAGAGAGCAAATAAATGATAACTGTATTATCTATTGAATAATTTAAAAGTACACTGGTAATAATTAAAATTACATTTCTATTGAGTAAGAAGTACTTATTTAAAATACACACAACGAAAAGAACCACCGCTTAATGGAAATACACCAAAGTCGAAGGATAATCCGAAGTAATTTAACCTAATTACTTGTACCCGGCCGATATATTTTTTCGGCTCCACTTGGACGGTGACAGAGGAGCCCTGCCCGCTTCCAATATCTAATTTACCAATTTATGCAACATTTCTATTGCTCGCTCGATAACTGGTTTTAATAAGTTAATATGTATATTCCCAGTTCTTGCGACTTTGGAATTCTTTATTTTATTTGATTTGTTTATGTTGTAAATACATACATACAGTTAATATCATGGTAAGGTAATTAACGAAAGGCAGATGTTTAGTTTGTACTCTATTTGGATTTTTTTAATTTTTAGCATTGATCTGTAAAAATAAAATTATTTTATCGCCACCTAAAGAAATTGAATTACCACCACACGCTTCTATTAAAGCTTATGGACTTAAGTCCATTAATAGTTGTAGTAATTTAAGTTTTTCTAGTTTTAATTAATTTTGTGGTAAAAAGTAAAAAATGAAATAATTAAGAGTCACAAAGCTGTATTAAGAGTCGCAAAGCAAATAGTTTAAATAGAAATGTTTATTTGTCTTCAAGCGACTCTTCCTATCAAAGATCGGCAACAATTTTGTCAAATTTTTCGCCATCTTGGGTCTTATTAAGTAGATCCTTTAAGCATAAGCATATCCAATCTTGTAAGTTCTTTAGCCAGGACCACTGTCTGTGTTTTAGTCCGCGCCTTCTTTCGATCCTAACCTATATTATGAGATAAAAGAAATGGCATTTGTTATGTCCAGCTTATGTATCATTATATTTTATGTAGTTTTGTGCTTTTTATTGATTTCAATCAGCTCATGTTATTTGTCCTTTCGACGCAAAACTTCCAAGTTATTTTTTCTAGCCGTAAAGTTACTTCAACTTAGAAATTTATTTCTTCATTTAAAATTCTTTCTGTTCCCTCTGCCACTTTTGATTTAAGTTTTAAATTTCTCTTTCAGGACTCAGTTCAGACAGTCCAGTACAGTCCAAACGCGAATAGCGTCAGGGGTCTGTACACCGGCAGCGCACTGCCCCCTTCTCCTACATTTATGAACATTATTTATTTGTTGTTTTTTTATATTTACATTACTGTTTTACCCTTTTATTTTTTTCTTCACTTCTTCTTAGGAAAAAAACTGCACCCTGATAATGACCACACCACACGTGGTCAGTGGAGCTTTGTGGGAGTAAAACTATATTTCCCTAGCTACTCCTCGGATGTATATGTTATGCAAAAAATGCAAAAAAACCGCTTGCCATTCGGGCGGTTATTCGGAAAGATCAGACCAAACTATAAGGAGAAGGAAACCGCTTTTGACTTTAAAAATTACTTTAAAAGAAAGGCCTCAGAGAGCCATGATAGTCATATAAAACGCATAGTCATACTTGTACTCAAGCTACCGAACTTGCTGGACTATTTAGACGATCTAGAAAGACAACTAAATTTATTCATGAATCTACTTAAAGGATACCGTAACACATTTAGACCGGCGAAAGAGGTATGCCGACTCTTGCAAAATAGGTAATATATGCAACGGATATTTTTTACATTCTTATACAAAACTATTCTTATACAAAATTCTTTGTTTTTTAGTCGATCTCGAGTTCAAGTTAAACTAGATTTCTAAATAGTCTAAGATACGACACTACTTGCTTCCCCTTTCTTGCGCACTTATCATCAGACCACTTTTGGCTTTATCTCCCTTCCTTTGCCTTAAAAGTTTACATCCTCCCGCGTGTGCTGAAATTTTTATAGATTGCTGTAGCAACTCTAACCTCACGTCCTAGTGATTACTATGCTCATTCATCCGATTAATTTCACTGGAAATTTTATTTTTATATATTTCTTGCTTCAGTATGAGTCCAAGTAACTTTAAAACCAGTGCCAACACTTTACTAATTGATCACTAGTAGCCATCACCAGAATGACACACTCTTACCTATTCTCAAACACCGACCCCCTTGGCGCAATTTGTTGAACAGTCTTCTAACGGCAAAACACATTTGATTATCAACAGTATGATCAACAACGGTCCCCTTATAATCTACTTGACGATTTGTCCCAATTTCTAGGCAAAAGGTGTCCCATTGAAAACCTTAGCAAATATTCTTAAATCTGTTAATTTAGTATATAAACTTAACTGTAATGTACCTTTAGCGCCCTCATAATGTAATTCTTAATAAACTTTTGGTTCATTCGATATTCTCTTATCGTACTAAAAAAACATCATAAAACTCTTCAATATTAAAGGTATTTATAGTTTTTACTGTAAATACGAATATTTTCTTCAAACAATTTTCTGATGAAATTTGGTTTCGTTTTTGGAAACAAGAGTCTGTAGTGTAAAAATACGTTTGATATGGACGATAAATACAATGATTACATTATGGAACAACTAATTAAATTTCTACTAATTAGAAAAGTAAATTTAATCCAAGAAAATTAGCGGGGTATTGAAACGAATAAAGTATTAGAAAACGAAGAGGGAGTATAATATTTCAGATATGATAATCTTATTATTTATATAAAAGCATGTTATTACTACCCACCATCTCAAAAAATAATTATTTTCGTACGCCCCCATATTATATCCCTTTATTGTTTGCCCTAATAAAATATATCGCTGAATTTCGGTATCAAAAAAAAACGACGAAAGCTAAAATACGACATAAAAGGAAAAATGTGTTTATTACTTACCCCGGACCATCCCTTAGGAAGAAATCCTTTGTGTTTGGTCCAATTGTCGGTGTTGACGTAAAAAAGTCCCGCTGTCATGACGAACACCCACACTGCGAGGTTGATCACGTTCAGGATGTTGTTAAAGATTAACGATTTTTTAACACCCGCTGCTAAGAGTAGCATCATTAGAAGAGTTATCACGAAAGCGAGGAAATCGGGATCACGTCCTGAAAAATAAAAGAAATATGTAAAACATCATTATCGCGAAAGCTGTAATCCTGTATAATAATATTTTCTACATTATCTTTCAGAACTGTATAATGAAATAACAAAAGGAAGTATAGTATTTTTTTATACTACATGATTTTATCAAATAGAAAATTTATTTAATACTTTAAATTTTAGACAGTATTTATTTCTGAGAAGTTACTGCTGAAATCTCAAATCTAAAATAAATAAATATAATATTAACTTTAATAAATATATTACATATATAACTTTGTTAATTTACACAAAAATTCATGAACGCTATTTAGAATCTATCAAGTTATCTACAAAAGGAAGTATGGCTTTTTAAAAACATAAAACATTTTAAAAAGTCAGTCGTTAGAAGGGTAGTTTTTTAAATATATATTTTTTATTATTTATAAAAATATTCGAAATTGTCTATACAATATTGTTAAATAGTATTAAAAATAAGACCACTACTTTATAATATTATCCCCGAAAATGTGTTATTAATATTAAGAAAACATACAGAAGTTAAAACACTTCCCATTTGTATTTAGGTATAAAAACATATAGTTAAAACTTTTAAAAATCGTCATCAAAATTTATACAGCAGCATAACGTTTTCGATCTACTCTGGTCTTTGTCGTTTTAACTGACAAGAAACACGTGTTCAAACCGAGCAAGGAGACATGTAGCTCCTCAAGTATTAATTTTTGATCCAATGTCATCGACCTAGAGTCATAGTATAATTTAAATTTGGAATAATGTAAAACTATATATGAATGTCACAGCTACAAATTTAGTGTTAGCTTCAATTACATAAGAAGGCACTGAAAATGATCTGATTATATCGAAGACGTTATGCTACTGTATAAATTTTGACGACACTTTTTAAAATAAATTACTATTTAACTGGGAATAAGCCACAATTAAAGGTAAAAATACGTTTATTGACGTTTTAATTTCCACTTCGGAAATCGTTCTCAAAATACAAACAGTAAATTAAACAAATTTTGT